CAAATTTCTTTCCAGTCTTACCCATAGTTATCCCTGAAAAAAATAAAACATGGATGTAAAATCAAACACAATCAGCTTTCAGTGGCTGATGTACATGTATGTCACTGATTATGTAACTAATAATGTTTATATAAATAAGAAACTCCTGCGTAAATTAGGAGACATGGACATATCTTGTATACAGTTGCCAGCACTCTTTTCCTCCTTGTAAGTTCAAATCATACAATACTGTTCATATTCACCCCAAAAAGTTACTCCATTCTAATGATACTGGATTCAAGAAACCATATTAGTAGCAGACAACTTGTGATAGCTGATATTTGCAATTTTCAATGCTATCAACATTTGAATCATTTATGCTCTTACTATAAGAAAAGGCTGCCATTAAGCTTGCTATTATTAAATGTGGGTAGAATGGTAGTAAAAATGCTGCAGCTTCTGGTCATGGCAAGTAATTCAAACATCTCACTAACCATAAATATAGTTAAATCTGTCATGGGGGGACGCAGGGGGGAGCAAAAGCACAAATTGGGGTGGTGCTGCAGTGCAGGGTGAGCTCAGGGAAGCCAGGGAAAGAGGTTACATGGTGCATATCTGCACATTGGTGAGCATAGGGAGGCTGTGGAAAGAATACACTGTGGGCTTCTTGGTATGCTGCACCTCTGAGGCTGCAAGAAGCCCCTGAGCTGTAGGCAAAGCACAACTCTAGCCCAGCTGTGAGGTGCAAAAGGGCACCTTTTCTTTCCATCTCAGAGTTGCAGCGTACTAAAAAGCCAGACTGGGCTTCACAGTCCAAAGGAATTCACACTGTGCTGCAGATCAGGGAGCCTTGCAGCCCCAGTCCTGTGGCGCACCAAGAAACTCCTTTGCGCCATACTGCTAGGCTGGGGCTTTGCACTGCAAGAGCCCAAGCCACAGTGCAGTGCAAAGCCCTTCATAGCATGAAGCCCAGCACAGCAGCGGGACTTCTTGCCACCCCAGGAAGCCACAGCCACCCCAGCCCCAGCCAAGCTGCAAGCACCCTTGCCACCCTGCACTCCAGCTGCCCTTTGCCGTCTTCTTGCTCCCACTGCTGACGAGGCATCCCCGGCCTGGCCCTTTGCGAGGCAGCTGCTGGTCACATGAGGCCATCTTCCCCAGCTCTGGCAAGGAAACCACTGTTCATGATCTGGGGACGAAAGCCTCATAAGGCCCGGGGATCAGATTGGTGTGGATTCCATAAAATAGCTCTACTGTTCTTCAATAGATGTGCTCTACCAGTGGCTGTATTGCATGCATTTAATTGTTTTATTGTTTTTAATGTTTGCATTGTTCGTATGGCTGTTTTATTTTTTGGTACTGTTTATGTTTTAATTGTAAGCCACCCAGAGTCACAAATGTAAGATGGATGTCTATATAAATTGCATTATTTGCTAATTTAATGAAGGTTTGCTGCAGTCAGCCAGCTGTTTAGACAAGATTTAGTATTTTATCCAACTATCAAAAGTCCTTCCCAAGGACCAGTGATAAAACAAACGTTGATGTTTGATGGTGTTAAATGTATCGTTGCATGATGAAAGCTGTTCCAAGTAAAGCTACCTTTTCCAACTAACCAATTGTGATTTTGTCAATGCTGATGGTGTTCAAGTGCTGCTCCAGTTATTTTGGGATTGCACCCAAGGGGCCTATTACTATTGGTACTACTTTTGCTGTGTTCTTGTTGTATTTCTTTGGGTTATCCCATATCTGTGCTCAGAGCTGCACTGTTTCTTCCTTGTCAGGTGTTGACTGATTCACTGGGCCACAACACTATCCCTCACCGCAGGGCCCTTCCCCCGGGTCTGATGCTCAGGGTGCAGCCTCGAGGGATATCGGGCATGGTAGGCCCACAAAAAGCTGGGGCATGCACGTCCGTCGCATCGACCCAAGTCCCCCCGTCCGACCCATCGTCCTTCCAGTCCACCAAGTACTAGAATCGTCCCTTTAGCCATCTCGAGTCCTGAATCCGGGCCACTTCGTGTTAGCTGCTTCTCTGCCTCACAAGGTGACGGCTGGGGTGGAGACGGTTGGCGGAGAGCCCAAGCCGACTGCTCAGGGATCAGGAGCGAGCGATGGAACACCGGGTGCACTTGCATCAAGCGTGGCAGGGTCAGGCAATAGGCCACTGGGTTGATGACTGTCTCCACCGGGAACGGCCCAAGAAACCAGTGGTCCAACTTCTTAGCTGGCCAGTGGAACGGAAGATGCCGCATGGACAGCCACACGCGATCCCCCACAGCCAACTCTGGCACCGCACGCCAAGACCTATCTGCCACCCTCTTGTAGTCCTCCTTCGCTTGCTTCAGATAGCAGCGCACCACTTGGTGGACCGCCTGGAGCTCCAAGAGGAAGTCATGCACTGCGGGGACCAGGGAGTCAACTGGGGTAAAAGGGAAAAAGCGATGGTGATACCCGATGTTAGCCATGAAGGGCGTCGTCTGTGTGGAGGTATGCTGCGAGTTGTTAAATGCAAACTCCGCCACGGCCAGGTACTCCGCCCAGTTGTTCTGCTGCTGATTCACAAAGCAGCGCAGGTACTGCTCCATGATCCCAATCACCTTCTCCGTCCCCCCGTCGGTTTTGGGATGGAGCGCTGAGGACAAACAAACCTGGAAGTCCAGAGCCTCCATCAGCCCTTTCCAGAACTGGGCCGTGAATTGCATCCCACAGTCCGACACGACCCGATCGGGTAGGCCGTGCAGCAGGAAGACGTACTGGATAAACATGCAGGCGGTGGTGCAGGCTGTTGGCAATCTCCAACATGGGATGAAATGTACCATCTTTGTGAGCATGTCTACCACCACGAGGACCGTTGTAAACCCTGAAGATGGAGGCAGTTCTGACAGACAGTCCATGGACACGGCTCCCCAGGGTCTGTCTGGGGTCAGCAATGGCTGAAGCAGGCCTGGAGGAGCTCCCGTCGCTGACTTGGCCTGCCGACACTGTACACAAGAGGTTGCGTACATCTGTACGTCGTGTCGCAAGCGGGGCCACCAGAAAGTACGGGAGACCAGGTTCAAAGTCTTGAAAAGGCCAAAATGTCCCGCCGCCAGATTGTCAAGACATTGGGAGAAAATAAGGCCCCAGGGGGGGCCTGCGGGCACATAGAACCGGTCCCGGTACCTCAAAAGGTCATCGTCGAAGGTCCACGGGGAAGCCGGCCCTCCCTCTGCCCTCCGTTGCTCCACCCACTCGTTGCACCGCTGCACCTGCGCCGAGGTGGCGCAGTGGTTAGGGTGCAGTATTGCAAGCCACTTCAGCTGACTGTTATCTGCAGTT